GAATAGCATTTTCTGGAAGTGTTCTTTGAGTTATCTGATCTAATTAGAAAGAATAGCATCTTCTGGAAGTGTTCTTTGAGTTATCTGATCTGATTAGACAGAATAGCATTTTCTGGAAGTGTTCTTTGAGTTATCTGATCTGATTAGACAGAATAGCATCTTCTGGAAGTGTTCTTTGAGTTATCTAATCTGGTTTCGTAAGAACTACAGAACCAATCATTAGAATTAAAAGATGAACTGCATGATCGTCTTCATTAAGAAGTTTCTTTTCAAGCTTCTTTTGCTTATTCCTTTCCCAAAAATCATAGCACGAGTTTCGCCTTTGCTTGTAACTGGGATTATCACATGATGGCTTCCCACCTTTTACCGGAAGAAAGCTATTTGAAGTTTCAACTTCTGAGAATCACATTTTTGTCAAGAATAACACTTCATCAGAATCAGAATTCAGGATTTCTCGGTATTAGAAGAACTATTGATATCTGTGAAATCATCCTGAAAGGTTACTTCATAATCAGATGAGTTGTTATCAGAATCAACATGTTGTCTGAATGCAAGCTTTTCAAGAGCCTATACTATTGAGTTTTATTCTCAAGAGGTTTTGTGATATTATATCTACATCTACATTTGTCAAAGATGATAGATTCTCTGATTCTAAGAAGAAAGATCTATTGGGTTTTTACAATTGAAGGAATACTCAATTCACCAATCTGAAATCAAACAACTTAACATTCATGCATCATATTTAGACATTTGCAAAAATAGATGCATTTTCATTCTTTTTTATTCTTGTTGAAATTTTAACAGGAATTTCAAAGATTTTAGCAAAGATGAATCCATCGTTTGGTGGATCATTTTTTTCCAGAGAAAGTTCATAATGAGAAGAACTCATCTGAAGAAGGAAGAAGAAGTTCATAATGAGAAGAACTTGTTCAACTTTTTGCTTGAATTCATCACTTGATGGATCATTCTTTTCCAGAGAAAGTTCATAATGAGAAGAACTCATCTGAAGAAGGAAGAAAAAGTTCATAATGAGAAGAACTTGTTCAACCTTTTGCCTGAATCCATCATTTGGTGGATCATCTTTTCCAGAGAAAGTTCATAATGAGAAGAACTCATCTGAAGAAGGAAGAAGAAGTTCATAATGAGAAGAATTTGTTCAACCTTTTACCTGAATCCATCACTTGATGGATCATTCTTTTCCAGAGAAAGTTCATAATGAGAAGAACTCATCTGAAGAAGGAAGAAGAAGTTCATAATGAGAAGAATTTGTTCAACCTTTTACCTGAATCCATCATTTGGTGGATCATCTTTTCCAGAGAAAGTTCATAATGAGAAGAACTCATCTGAAGAAGGAAGAAGAAGTTCATAATGAGAAGAACTCGTCATCTAAAAAAGGAAGAAGAAGTTCATAATGAGAAGAACTTGTTCAACCTTTTGCTTGAATTCATCGCCAGATGGATCATCATTTCCAGAGAAAGAGTTCATAATGAGAAGAACTCATCTGAAGAAGGAAGAAGAAGTTCATAATGAGAAGAACTTGTTCAACCTTTTGCTTGAATTCATCACTTGATGGATCAACATTTCCAGAGAAAGAGTTCATAATGAGAAGAACTCGTCATCTGAAGAAGGAAGAAGAAGTTCATAATGAGAAGAACTTGTTCAACCTTTTGCTTGAATTCATCGCCAGATGGATCATCATTTCCAGAGAAAGAGTTCATAATGAGAAGAACTCGTCATCTGAAGAAGGAAGAAGAAGTTCATAATGAGAAGAACTTGTTCAATCTTTTGCTTGAATTCATCATTTGATGGAACATCATCCCCAGCAGAAAGTTCATAATGAGAAGAACTCATCTGAAGAAAAAGAAGAATTTATTCAATATCTTCATTACAATCAAGTGAAGCCAAATGGATAAAAAATTTTATTATCTTTTCATCTTTGCCCTATTCTTGTTAACACAATAATGAGCAAAGAGGGGCAGCTGAAGATATTAATTTTTTATCCATATCATTATTATTAATATTATTATTATTAGTATTATTATTATTATTAGCATTATTATTATTATTATTATTATTATTATTATTATTATTAGTATTTATTATTATTATTAATATTATATATTATTATTATTTAATAAATAATTACAACTGGACCGGCCCAGTTACAAGCCAACTAGAACCGGTCCAGCCAACCAGAAACCCTAAACAATTAGTAAGGTTTCAGCTAGGGTTTCTAAACCCTAGCCACACCCAGCCGCCTCTGAAGCTTCCAGAATCCCAGCCGCCGCCTCACTGCCAAGTGGTCCAATGGCCCACTGCCGACGCCTCCGCCGCTGCCACGTCCCGAATGAAGGCTCCAGAAGATCAACACCGGCCGTCCACGCCAAGGCTACGAGGTGAGTCACCACTGGTAGTCCGGTGACTCACCGAAGCCCTCTCTTCGGACCGGTCCGATGACCGCACCGGTGGTGGCTATAAAAGCCACCACCCACCTGCGAGACAAAAACAGAGACAGAACGAGACACAGAAACAGAAAAAAAAAAAGAGAGAAATAGAACCGAAAAAAAAAACAGAGAAAACAACAGCTACCAACGATCCCAGTCCACAACAACAGAGCAAAAACAAAAGGAAAAAGGAAGAAAAGAAACTTACCGAGGGAACCGTTGATCATCAGAGCCTTTTTGGAGCCATCGGAAAGTCAAAGGTCGAAGGTATAAACTTTAGATCTACGCATTTCAGTAGTATTTTAGGCTAAAAAACCTACGGATCTAGCTTTAGGGAAAACCAGGCTTTAATTTGGGGTGGGATTTGTAATTTCCGGCCACCGGATATGGTGGCCGGCGGTGGTTTTGACGGTGGCTAACGGCGGCCCACGGTGGCTGACCGATAACCAGCTTCCCTCCGATGAGGGAAGCTAGAGAGAAGGAAGAGAGAGCTTCTTCTCTCGTTTTTGAGAGAAGAAGAAGAAGAAATGAATGAGCTGCTGGCCCTTCGGGCCAGCTATGAATGGGCTTAAATAGCCCTCCCCAAACGACGCCGTTTTGGGGAGGGATCTGTCCGTAATTAATAAAAAGATTAACCTCGTCCGTCATCCCTCTAGTTTGTAATCTTTACCTTTTAGTCATTGAATCAAATTTTTGATTCTTTTAATTTGGTCTCTACATTTTATTTATTTATATTTTAGCCATTAACCGTATTAATAATATATTAAGATAAATTTCATATTTAGTCCTTTAATTTTGATAAATAATATTTAATCCTTAGTTTATATTTTTAATTTTTTTTATAATATCCGAATTTTAGATAGTTTTATTTTAGTCACTAAATTATTAAATAAGGAAATAACATATTTAATCCTTATAATTTTGATTAATTATGAATTAGATTTTTGATTTTATTTTTACTATAATTTAGTCAGTTATTTTATATGTTTTCATTTATTTTATTGTTTTTTTATATTATTTTAGTAGTATTTTTCTTTTATTATATTGTTAAATATTTTTATATATATTCATAAATATATATAATAAATAGTAATTTTTTAAATATTTATTTATTTTTAATAATGAAGAAAAGGACAGTCTTAATACAACTGGATGTCCTATTCTGATATTTTAAAAAATTAAAAATTAAACAATATTATTTAAATCAATATTTATCAATATCAAAGAAAAGAGCTGTCTTAAGGCACCTAGAAGTTCTTTTCGGATATTTTTAAATAAATATTTTTTTATTTTGAAATTATAAGATTATAAATTAAATATATTTTTGAATTTTTAAATTTTTAATAATAGAGACAATTTATAATTAAAAAGTACCAATCTTGGGCGTTGTAGGGGTGCTAATCCTTCCCTAAACGTAACCGACCACGAATCCCTTTTTATTATTAAAAAGAATGAATTTTTGGTTATAAAACGCAGATCAGTTCAATTTTTTAATTGATGTTTTCTTAAAACTCTTTTAAAAAAATAATTTTTAGGTATTCGACCTACCTGATCCAAAAAGGCCGATGGCGACTCACAAATTATTTTCAAAATTATTTATTAATATTAATTTCCCCGCCAAATTTTAATATTTCGTGCCCGGACGAAAACCGGTTACGACAGTAGCTTCATTTCTATAATGAAGTAATGATACAAACATAGCAAGGTCATACTGGATGTGTTCCAAAACACACTTCAATCGGTTCCAACTAAGTTCTATGATACATTCGTAGATTATTTCGACATCCTACATGTTACTACATCACAAGCAAGTCAAAAGAAGAACATAAGCTCACACCTTAAAATCAACACAAAATCGGAAATCTGATACAGTGAAGCAGCCCCCACTCTAACTTCATTTCTTTGCCTGCCATAATATATTCCGACATCTCAAATTAGAAAAAAAAATCACTATGGATCTTGCGGTCTTAAGTGGAGTTGAACAAAATAACATAGTACATGCATCATTTACGCATGCATACCCCACCATTCAATTGCACATGAACTCAATCGAATAGTAACAATCAATTTTCATTGAATATAACTCAATCAAAACATAAAAAAATCAAAAAAAATTATATAAATCTTGGTTAACTCAATATTATTTTGATTATTTTGGAATTTGGGGTTTATAATGTAATTGAATTATTTTGGAATTTAGAGTTTAGAATGAAATTAAGGACTGTTTTACAAGTTTTAAAAGTTGGTGGACCTAAATGCAAAAGCCTAAAAAGTTCAGTGGCCATTTATATAGTTTACCCTAATTTTTACTGCCACGTCAGTATCTTCTAACGGCATTGTAACGTCGGGACCATATTGTAAACGAACTAAATGTTAGGGGGACTGTATTGTAAGTGTTAAAGGTTGGGGGACTTAAATGAAAGCTTCAGAAAAGTTCAGTGACCATTATTATTCTTTACCCTAAATAATTTTCAAAAGATTAGTACGACGCCGTTTCTTTCGAAAACAAGATTTTATTTATGCGGAGCGATTCCATTTTTTCTGTATAGATGTGTAGCGATAATAATTTTAAAAGAAAGTACCCAAAAAACCATCCTTTTCGTTGGCTTTTAGGTTGTGAATTGTGAATCGAGACCGTCAACGATGGGATTAGGTTTCATAATCGGCGTCTTTGGAGTTCTATTCCTCTTCCACGCAGCTTATTCGACGATTCAGTGTAAATTTCCATAACTTTGCATTCATCTCCGATTTGATTTTATCGATTAAATCTTGAAGTTTATTTTTTGATTGATTTTCCAGATAGGGGGCTGTTGAAGATTACGGAGGAAGAGTTTTCTGCTCCACCCATGAACGTAAGTTTGATTGGATTTGATTTTGTTAACAATTTTGTTCTCTAAATCTGAAGTAAATAAATTGATCTGGAAAGTGCAGACAGTTTTGGAGTTGCTTCTAGGGTTTGTTTTATGTGTTTCGGCTGCCTTAACCGTGCCTGGGAATTTTCTCTCCATACATCCTGATTCTGAGGAGAATAGGTATTTGGAAACTATATATTTGTTTCGGTTCTCATTGTTTATAAAGATAAATTTTGTGTAACGTGAAATCAAATGCTTTATTTTGCATTAGGGGTCAAATTAGGCTATCTGAAGTTGTTTCTGTTTTCATTCATATAACATTGGGGAAAGCAGGGAACATATGAGTATACATGTGTTGAACATATTCCTTTATCCTGTACTCACCTCTATGACAGCCATTTGTTTTAAACACATGTTCGATAATGCTTAGAATATGAGTATACATGTGTTGAACATCCTTTATCCTGCACTCACCTGTTAGTCTGTTGTATGCGAATGAAGTTGTTGTGAACTAAAAAGAAGGGAACTTTTCTTGTTAGTTTAGTGTTAATCATCTATATATTGAGATAGGGAGTGAGATATAAAATTAAACTGAAAATGATCTACAAGATCATGTCCTGACTGTCTTTGGCATCTTGTTTAATTGAAACAAGCTAGGTGCCCCCATATGATGGTGTACTAGTATTCCAGGTACTACCCTTATCCATTTTCAGTGCGTAATCTAACGATTGTACCTAGTGATTTTGATTGAGTGTTAGTCGATAATCACAGGGGTGAATTTTCACGTATTTCACTTGGACTGATATGCCATAGAAGGTCTTAGTGTGTTTTGATCTTTGAGTATTCTCTCTCGAGGATTTTACTCAGCACTCCCGGTGTAATCTTCACCAATTTCACATGGAGTGATTCACGGGTCGTAATGTGTTTAATCTTTTTGTATTCTCTCTTGAGGATTCCACTCAACACTCCCCTCCTAGGAAATATACATACAATTTGAATAAGGAGCTCAATGAGAACCCGACCAAATGGGTTTTTACTAATCTTTCTATTTAATACTGCAAAATTCTATCTAATAAAACACTGTGTGCTTCTTTGCATTTTAATAGCTAGATATTATACTCGCTCTTATGAAATGAGCCTCTCAGCCACATGCCCTCGTGCTTATTGGCCTGATCCTTCTTTTTGATTTTGATGCCTCTTCATTCTTTTTCTTTGTAGAAAAGGTGTACTAAATTTCACATTTTTCATATGTAACTCAAATTCAGTTTGTAGGAAAGTTAACATTGTTGAAGCAACTATTGCTTTATTGTTGTACAATTATTATATTGCTCTCGGATATCAAGAATTTAAATCTGGAATGCAGGATTGTTTCTTTACCAGCAAACTTGGACTTCATGATCTTCAATCACAGAGCCAAAGCACTTCCTTTAGAAATCGATATGAAGCTGAAGCATTAAGATTGAAGAAGCTTCATGGTGCTTCAGATCACCATTGTTGGCGAGTCTGTTGAACTTTAGAGTAGAGAGCCTATGTATCAGGTCATTATTGCTAAAATTTGGATTTTGGCTTTCTTGTTTGCTTTTATGTTATTTTTGCCTAACATATGTAATTGAACCTAGTTTTGAGTTGGAATCATTATCAGGGCTTGTAGTAGGCCAGACATTCAATATATTATTTTGTCTTTACGTTTTCTTCTAACCTGTTTTGCACTTAGGGCATGGAGCAAATTCTTTGAATTTCCAATTATATCCAATCCAAGTGGTTCTAGAATTGGATTCTAATTTCATATTTGGTTAATTATTGTTGGTTTGTTGTTGAATTAAGATGAGTGCTTCTAGTTATGTCTTACTAAAATGGTGGACTGAACACACTTATATCCTAGATGCATAATAATTAATGGATTCTTGGGATTGGTGTATTCTTTTGTATCTTTTTCTCTCGTGGTCTGGTATCATGAAGCATGGCAACTACTTCCACCCATCTTGTATGTTGTCTTCCTTCCATTAGCAAATTTCATACCATAATATGGATACATTCCCGACAACTGATTTGCAGACCAAATATCACAACTCCAAGTACACCTTGAAATAGATGGAACTCCATCCAACCTGATTAGTTTTTTTTTAATTATTATTATTAAAAGAAATCAGATTTGAGGTGGGATAAGATGTGTCAATTTTATAAAATTAGTTGCAACAAGTCGAAACATGATCGATACTAGGGTGGCAATTCGATTGCGAGTTGCAGTGGCGGATGCATGTATTGTTCAGGATGGACACGTGCCCACCCTGAAAGATGAATTTCTTTATGTTAGTAATTAATTTTACTGAAGGTGTCCTCCCTAGAATTTTATTTGTGCTTACCCCATACGAAATTTTTTTTGTTATTAATATGTGCCTATCTTGAAAATATTTCTAGATCTGCCACTGGCGAGTTAGGTTGTATTCATTAAAAAAATTGTTTCTCACTAAGTAAGTTAAAATTTTACTTGACTTGTGCTCGTTAAAATAAACTTTTGCTTGACTCGTTACTCGTGAAGCTCAGTAAAATTCTTACATTCTTTTTTAACTATAAGTACTTGCATTCTTTTTTAACTATAAGTAAAATCTACTAATATTATATAAAGCTTAATATAAACAAAAATGAACAAAAAAAAAACAAAAATCTACTTATATTGTATAGGGTTTGATTTTTGGTCGTAATAAATTAATAATTTAGTATTTTCTTGTTTTTTATTAGAAAATTAATAAATTAGTATTAATTATTAATTAGTAGTTTGCTATCTTTCTTAATACCTTAAATTAGTAATTATTATTTAGATTTTTTTAAAATGATATAATTTTTAAGGTAATTATTAAAAAAATATTAAAAAATTAATGAACTAATCGCAAACTTATTGGGTTGAGTTGGACATTGCTCAACTCAACTCGTTAAGGTCTCAAATTGAGCTTGAATTTGAGTTGAGTCAACCCGAGTCAAAATATTGATCGAATTTTGACTGAGTCAAATTCGAACAGATCACGAACTGCTTTACTCATTAAGTATTCCTAATAAGATTGAGATAAACTTTCACTATATCGATTAGGTTGGGCGAGCAAGTAGAGAAATTCTCATATCTATAATCATTTCTATGTTAGATGCATGTGTTACGAGGTTATTATTCTATTATCAAAAGACATATATGATAATATGTACAATTGCATCATTTTTATTTTTCAATACCTTTTTTTTTTCTTTTTCGATGTAAAATTATTGTTCTTAATTCTCTAAAATAAGACATTTTTTCTTACATAATTTCGTAATATTTCCATCACATATTATCATCACGATTGTCTATTATACATACCCTAAACATAAAATTAAATAATTAGAAAATCATTTTAATACTATTTGTGACATGACTATTACCTTCTTCCAAATTAAGCACCAAAAATGCAAAAACATATCATCTGAATTTATTGCATCAGATCATCTGATACAATAATAAAGTTTCGAATTAACTTATGTCTCTAGAGAGTGATTTCAAGTTGACTGTCTACACTATACAAAAATTGTAAGTTCTTGGACAAGCATTGCAAATAACGTTAAGAACTCGAAGATTTTGTCTGTATGAAACTGTTATGATGTTTGAATTTCAGAATGAAATCAGGATATCAATTTAAGAGGAATAATGTAAATAAAATTAAAATAAATTAAAATTTAAAGGTTTAAGTAAATATTTATCTTTATTCATTTTTTAATAATGACAGATTTTAAGAGTAGTGGCCCAAGGATTAAATATGTAATTGTAGTAGTTTTGTTAACTGTCATATAAGTTATTTCGTCAATTGTTAACAACGGGTGGTTTGATTAACCTAATTTAAATAGTTTAGTGGTTAGATTGATAAAATTAAAATATTAATGGTCAGATTGCAACCCTCTAATAATTAAGTGGTAGTTGGTGTAGTTTACCCAAAAGTTTTAATTGCCATATATTTTAAGGTGGTGTTTGGATCAAGGAATGTGGGATTTCATAGGAATGGAATTCACATTCCCATGTTTGGTTGGCCGGGAATCTCATTCCCGATTATGTTTTATTACTAATAGTAGATTTTTTGGAGTATATTATCGGGAATGTCAGTAACTCCCTTTCCTTAGGTATTGTTGGATTATCGGCGTTTTAGACTAAAACGCCCTTAATTTTTTTTTCTTCAAAAATATCATTCTTTTGTCATTGAATAATAAAAAATCTACGAATGTTAAATTACAAATTTATCCTTAAACTATTTTAGATTTACAAAAAAAATCTATAATTAAAATTTATATGAAGTTCAGGGGTTAAAATAAAATTTTACCTTTTCATTAAACATTTTATATTTTCAATTTTGTAAAAAAATAAATTTTATGAATTTAAATATTTTACCAACCAAACACAAAATACAACATTCACAGTAATCTTATTCCCTGATGATCTTACATTTCAACTAGTAATCTTACATTCCGTGAACCAAACGCACGAATTTTTTTATTTATGGTTTACATTCTATTCGCTTTCTTTCTTTAAGGGCCTAGAAGAATGGCCCAAAACAATATTACCCATATTTTAGCAAATGATGCATTTCATCCCAAACCTGGAAAAGATAAGAGCTTGGCTTGTGGTTGTGAGAGAGGTGAAGAAAAGAGTGAAGCTTTGGAAATGGAGAAGTACTTTGGAACGCATACAGAGGTGACCCGGGAGTGCCCCATGCTAACGCGGACCGGTTCGTGAATATATAGATAGGGTCGGCTGCTTTCTCTGTACTCACTTGGTTCAACCCTTACATGTGGCAGCTCTCAAACCAATTCAAGTAATTTTGGTTCAAACCTTTTCTCTCTTAAACTCATTTGTTTTTTTTATTCTTTTATGTTTGTTTGAAATTTCATCAGCGAGTTCTGGTTTTTTAGTTTGATGGAACCTTGCATTTAATTTATGTGAATTAGGTTGCCCTTTGAAGTTAATGAAATATAGTTCAAATTCACTTGCTTTAGCCGTTTGGGATTTTTTTCCCTTTATGTTTAGTATCTACGTTATCTTGAGTGTATTTATCGATTATTCAAGACATATATAATTCATTGTTTTCATTCATCTTATGTTGTTGTTTGATTGGGATGGACATGGTTCTGCGGGGTTGGATTGTTGTATTTCTTCCCTTTTTGAATTTCGATATTTCAATTTCCCAGTTTTTGAGCAGGTTTCGAAATGAAAAGCTTCTAGTTGTGGAAGACCTTTACAGCTTTGTTGGCACTTGGCAGCTTCATTTTAGCAAGTTGCCTTTGTACAAATTGCTTTCTCTTTTGGAATTTATAGCCATTTTCTGACCAAATGGAGTTGGACGAGTTTTGTTTATTGACGGTTTTTTCAAAAAGTTCGTTCCCGAATGCCGGACACATTTAATTTGTTCATTATGTAGCTTTACCAGAGTCCAGACCCATTTCATCAAGCATCCTTATATGGATGCAAATGATTCGGTTTTTGTTAAGTAACTTGCTTATATTGTTGTTAGTCTTAGCCAACATGGATATTTGATGTTTAATCTCTGAAGAAACTTGTTGGTCTCTCTTATTGTGTTTATATAGTGCATTTCATATGTGTTCTGCTGTTCATTTTATTCATAGGTTCCGAATTCGCATGTCCAGGTTTTCATTTGATTTAATATTTCGGGATATGTCAATTTGCATTTGGCATGACAGAGCAATGATATTCGAACACTACCATTGGAAGAAAACAAAGGCAAAGAATCAACCATACAAGTTCAAGGTTTGTTATCTGTTATCATCCATGGACAAACTTTCTTAAAATTATCATGCGAAGTCATTCCAGATACCCTAATACTTCTATTTTGAATGTCTTTTCAGTGGAATGAGTACATGGACAAGGATCTCAGGGACTCGTACTACTACAACTGGCCTGTCTACTTTCCTTGGTTCTTCTTTGTGTTTTGCTCTTGATAAGTAGTTTGCTCAAATTTACTTCACCTACTGAAAAATTTGTCTATCTTTATCGCTTGTCCCTCCTTCCCAACTCATTATGTTGTTCTATTCTACCCCTTCGTATTTTGATGGATGTTAAATATTTCGAGTAAAAACTAGATCTTTTGTCAACCTTTCTGATGAGCAGATTTGATTTCTTTCAATATTTCCACATCTCCCCCTGGAAAAGAACTTCGGGCATATAAACCTCAAGAATACAATGAAATACAGTGAATCATTATATTTTGCAGTGATGAAATCAATCTACTAAGCATTCCACAGTGTAAAAATAGAATTATCTGATGCGGTGATACAAATCTTATAGCCCTTTCTTGGTTTGTTCCGTGGATGAACTTCTTTGTGTCTTCCATGTAAGTAATGCAAATAGTGAAGGCTTAATTGGTAGTGGGTTACCCTAACTGGTACACACAATTTTGATGGTTCTTTTTCTCTTCTTGAAAAGTTCTTGTCACAAAGAGTAATACAACAGGTTCCACCTCCTCACTTCAGGTGTACGAAGTTTGGATGTTGTGTTAGCCTTAACGGTGCGTTTGGTTCACGGAATGTAAGATTATCAGTGGGAATGTAAGATTACCAGTGGGAATAAAAGATTACCAGAGAATAGGATTAATGGGAATGTTGTATTTCGTGGTTGGCTGGTTTAGCAAGAATATAAATTACCGTATTTGGTTCAAGAAATAAAA